AGAGTCACGGAACGAATTAAGTTCGTAAACCGAGGTTCCACTGTACTTCTGGTATCTACTGTGTTCTGTTTTCGCATAAACTAAATGTTACAGAAATACTATACTTTGCCAGTGATAATTCTTTCAAAAGAAATAAATTTTAATAACAAGGCCCCCCTCATATGTGACTTGATCACCGAGGAGGGGGCAGACCTGGCATGCATTACCGAGACCTGGCTGGGGCCTGGGGGGGGTGCCCCTCTTGGAAATGTGGCCAGCTGGGTTCACAGTGTGGCACCAGCCGAGATGCCAGGGCAGGGGAGGAGGGGTGTCTGTTGTTATCCGAGAATCTCTGGTGGCCTTCACAGCATTGCTCCACAAGTCTCCGGCTGTAAGACACTATTTTTTAGGTTGGGTCCCCGCAAACAGTTGGGAGTACTGCTACTGAACCAGCCTCCATGCTGCGTGGCAACCTCCCTGCCTGAGCTGCTGGAGGCTGTCTTGGGGCTGGCGGTAGAGTTCTCTGGACATATGGTTCTGGGGGACTTTAACCTGCCATCCTTGGGATGGACCTTGGAGGTGGCTCGGGAGTTCATAGCCACCATGGAGGCCATGGGCCTGTCTCAAATTGTGCTGGACTTGACCTAAGACAGTGGCCACATGCCGGATTTGGTCTTCTTGTTGGAGCAATGGCAAAGTGATCTGAAGGGAGATTTACAGCTTTCCCCGTTATCATGGTCTGATCACATCCTGGTGACCCTGAATTTCTCCTATGCCACCCCTCTCCGCAGGGAGGCAGGACCCATGCGACTGCTCCGCCTCTGGCACCTGATGGACCCATCAAGGTTTCAGAGGGAGCTGGAGGGTATTCCCATGGATCTGCTGCACTGCCCAGTGGAGGCCTTGGCTGCTGCGTGGAATAGGAAGGCAGCCGGGCCCTTGGATAGGATTGCGCCTATGCGACCTCTCTTGCCACATCAGCCCTGACACTCCCTGTGGTTTACAGAGGAGCTGAGGGTTCTGAAGAGGGTCAAGAGACATCTAGAGCGCCACTGGAGGAAGACAAAGACTAAATCCGACCGAACACGGTTAGAGCCGCTATCAAGGCCTACATTGTGGCAATAAGAATGGCAAAGCGCCAATACTTCTCCACCCTTATTACGTCCGCAGAATGCTGCCCGGCAGCCCTGTTTGGGTTCACTAGAGCTCTCCTTGGTAAGGGAGATTTGGTGATTCATTTGCAGGGCCGCACGGAGGAATTTTCGGAGCATCTGCAGGACAAAATCGCTCGGATTCGTTCTAAGTTAGACTCCAAGCGTGGGGCAGGATCTGGGGAGATACCAGGGGGTCGTTCTTACCCAGTTATCTGGGAACAGTTTGATCCAGTTGATCCTGAGGAAGTGGACAGGATCCTTTGGATTGTGAAGGCTACCACTTGCCATCTTGACCCACGCTCCTCCTGGCTGATGAAAGCAGCTCGGGAGGTGACATGTGGTTGGATCCAGGCAATGGTTAATACATCCTTGTGGGAGGGAGTGTTCCCGGATGCCTTTAAGGAGGCATTGGTGCACCTCCTCCTCAAGAAGCCCTCCCTGGATCCTACTGTACTGGACAACTTTCGTCCAGTCTCCCGCCTCCCCTTTTTGGGGAAGGTGGTTGAGAAAGTGGTGGTGTCACAGCTTCAAAGGGTTCTGGAGGAAACGGATTATCTGGACCCTTTTCAATCAGGTTTGAGGCCCGGATATGGAACGGAAATGGCATTGGTCGCACTTATGGATGATCTCTGGCAGGAGTGGGATGGTGGAAGCATGACCATCCTTGCTCTCCTTATCTCTCAGCGGCTTTCAATACCATCAACCACAGTATCCTTTTGGGACTCAGGGAATTGGGGGTGGGTGGCACAGTTCTGTGCTGGTTTACCTCCTTTCTCCAGGGCCAATCCCAATCGGTGGTGATAGGGAGTGAGAGGTCCCATCCCCGGCCCCTCCTTTGTGGGGTGCTGCAGGATTCGGTTCTCTCTCTGCTCCTTTTCAACATCTACATGAAACCACTGGGTGAGATCATCCACCATCATGGGATGCAGTATCATCAACATGCCGATGATAATTATACATCTCCATCCCAGGTGAGGTAAGTGATGCCGTGACTGCCCTTTCGCGGTGCCT